TAAAAGCCTGCAGAAGCATTCAGACAGCTTGGGCGGGGCAACGTCAGGGGAGATGGAATGTGGCACTGCTTCAGAAGAGCTGTGGTTCATGTTGCTATCAGAGATGTTCACAGGCAGAACTTGTAGCTAGCAGACGCTTAGCACAGAAGAAGCTGCTCATCTCCCTAGTACTGCTAAGGAAATGATCATCTCTTTTAGAAGAGGGAACTGCACACGTACAACATGGCAGTCATTGTCCTGGTCAGTGATCTGGACAAAACATCTAAATCTGAGTTATAGCTAAGAAATAACAGTTCATTAAGATGGTTTGCAAGCACGTCAGAAATCAAAAAGCAGCTTCAGGTCAAAGGAGTGGAGGAGATCATTATATTCACTGTATCCCAGAAATTAATCCCTGCCTCTACATTACTTAATACTAGTAAACCCTGAGTTGACATTTCCAGTTACAGTATACAATATAAACTAATGAAAACCAATTATATGACTCTTGACTTATAAGTCAAAGATAAACTTTAAAAAGAAACAAACATGATTTTTTGAAGCTATCTGGGAAAATAGAGTTCCTTCATCCATGAGTATAAGCAAATTAGTTCTAAGTAGGGGTTGTAAGAATAATGTTTATCCTCTTCAAACAGTGGACCTTACTGAAGCCAAGGAGGTAAGGTAAAAATCTTGGTACCATGTTCAACACAGTGCCATCTCTCAGGGGTAATACAAAAGTATTTCCTTCTGTCCTGCAAGCTCTGCAATTAAGTATCCCATAACAATCTATCAAGAGTAATACATTCCTCTGAGCCTACAGTCTCAGTTATTATAATTCCCTCTTAGCAAATCTTCTAATGCTGTCATTTCCTTTGCTGCAATTTATAGAAAAAGCAGTGCAGAGTTACAGACTAGCTGCTGTAATTAGAATTCAAAAGGAATTAAGAGTCTTTGTTTGTTTGCTGGGTTTTCTTGGGGTGGCCACAGAGTTCATTCCAGCTGAATGATTTCTTGGAGCTATTCACCCATATCTAGACCCTCCCAATCACATTTTCAAAACCCTTTGGACCTAATATGATGAATCAATGATGTGACAATAACTGAATGGAGAATATATTTTAAACATAAACGTAACCACCAGTAGGTATGAAATAAATAGTAAAATCCCATCAAGGCAACAAAGGGACAGCTTTTGAGTACCAGGGGAGTGTTTTCCAGTCAGCTCCCAACCCAAAGCCTAGGAAGCCTAAAATGCCTCTGTATCCAGGGAGTTCCACAGACATTTTCTATTTACCATGTTTGTCTGCAGAAGAGCGTATTCACAATGGAGAGAAGCCACATCCTGAAGACCCCATATATTTCATGGATTTAACAGAAAATAGTAACAATAGTTAATATTTAATGAGAGCTTACTATATGCTAGCCACTAATTCTGGAAATTAACTCATTTTAATCCTCATAATATACATATGAAGCAAGTACTATTATACCCCATTTTATAGATGGATAAGCTGAGTCTTAAAAAAGCTTACTAACTTGTCTATTGTCATACAGTTAGTAAGCAGCAGGGCCAGAATTCTAACCAACTGGTCTAACCCCAAAGACCCTAACTCTTAATCAGTAACCAGGGGAACAGACCTACAAATAAGAGGGAATTGATAAGTACTGAGCTCTGGTAACTTTTTGGTCACTTTAGAAACATTTCATTTAATCCTCACACAGCATATTTTATAAAAGGAAAGTAAATTTCAGAGAGATTAACTACTCAAATCCATAAAACTAGCAAGGGAAAAAGCTAATATTCCATATACTACATCACAGCACCTCTCCACAGCTTAAAGACTAAGTGGCAGAAATAAAAGCAGAAATCTCACCTCAATTTGCATATCAGTGCTGTTATAAGAAAGTGACCGAGATGTACTTGGTGGTCCAGTGGTTAAGACTCCACAATCCCAATGCAGGGGACCTGGGTTCGATCCCTGGTCAGGGAACTAGATCCCGATGACGCAACTAATACCCAGCGCAGCCAAATGAATAAATAAATAATTCTTTAAAAAAAGAATAAAAAAGTGGCCAGTGGAAACTGTCTGGCAAGGATGCTAATAGGACACAGAAGAAAATCTGTAGTTAACAACAAAATCAGCATAACCAAGGAAGAAAGAATCTAAAACATTAGAGCACTGCAGTGTTGATGTTGGGGTGTGTGTGTGTGTGTGTGTGTGTGTGTGTACTGTTTCATTGTTTTCAACTACTCCTTTTATTTTCTTGATGAAATCTTGAGTAGTTCTCAACTAGGGACAGTATCTCACCAAAGACTATCTGGCAATACATGAGGACAGTTGATTGTCTTCACGATTAGGGGATTCTACTGGCATTTAGCAGGCATGGGCTAAAGATGCTAAATATCCTGCAATATTATGTCGGCACAACAAAGCACTGTCTCACTAAAAATGCCAATATTGCTCGTCCGACATTAGAAAGTACTTAAAGAAACCATTCAGGTATTGCTAAGAAAAAAATACACCATCCAGATGGGCTTAATCAATATTTGCACCCCGAGTGGACAGAGGAAGTAAATAGGGACCATTATAGACAGGTTCCTGAACAAAGTAGTTCCTGTTTTAGGTACTACTGCGTCTTAGACATACATAGACATAAAGCCTTGCTATTAATACTATGTAGAAAATATGTGAGACCTAAATTTTGAATAAAGACTCAAAATAATCTCAGTCGAAATACCTTCATGGTTTAGCCTAAAAGCAGACTTCCTACTTATAAGGTAGTTTCTACTACGAACAGTGTAACAGTGACTAAACATTAATCAACAAAATTTGATTCAATAAAAATATGAATCAATAAAAACACAAAATTGGCATGCTTAAGAAACAGCAAAAAGATGAGTGTGATTGGAATGAGCATGAGTGAGTAGTAGGCTGATGTCAGAAAGGCAGGCAGAGGCCAGAATGTGTAGGGTGTTGTGAGTCTTGATAAGGAGCATAGACTTCTGCTTATTGTGATGGAACTGGAGAGCTTTAAGCAAGGAATAAATGATCTGACTTATTTTTTTTAATTTTTAAATTTAATTTTATTTATTTATTTATACTGCAGGTCCTTATTAGTCATCCATTTTATACACATCAGTGTATACATGTCAATCCCAATCGCCCAATTCATCACACCCCACCCCCCCCCCCCCACCCCCCCACCGCTCTGCCCCCTTGGTGTCTTATTTTTAAATCACTAGTTAGGGTAGTAAGAAGAGAACACTGAGAACTAGAATACCATTCTACTTGGAAACTAGGGTTGTAATAAGGCAGACAAAAGCATATACAGCAACACCTTTGTTAAGTTGCCTGATGAGGGTAGATGCTGGTTAGGAAAAGTTAACCAATTTTATTTTGAAACTACACGGGCCCAAAACATCTCTGCACAAACTTCTGCCACTCTTTTTCAGATAGGCCAGGTCATCATGATCTCTTAACATAATAAAGAAAAAGCATTTTATCATCAGCAGACCTTCAAACTTAAAACTAACCCATTATCTTCAACACTGACACCCCTAGAAAGAAGTCTGTAATAATACTAAATTTACCATGGTCTCTGCTGACTTCAGCCAACTGAATAAACATACAGGGAAAAATTAAATCCCCAAATTGTTCACACTAGAATGCGAAAAAGTATCTTTAAATAGCTGCTATTTCAAATATAACTGATTAGAAAGGTACAAAACCAGAAGTAGCTCAAGGCAAACGAGTCAAAGACAGAACTTGTTAAAATAATCAAGTTTAGAGAAGCAATGGTGACATTACTGTGTAATTTTCCATAGACTTCCAATTTGCAAGACACCTTGCTTTGGTTTATTTGGCACTGCTCTGTCTCTCAGGAAATTCTGCTGGCACATTTATTTATTCAAATAATTGTTATTAACCAACATTTCTGAGCACCTGCTGTGTGTGTGTTAGAAGCTAGGAATATAAAGCTTTGCTGTCAGTCCAGAGAGATTAGTAAAGTGTAAGAAAAAAGATGAACAACAATAAAAAAATTACGTGCCAATTATGGGCAGTGAACTGAAATATACCTGCTGTGTCTCAGAGTCCTAGGGGGACTTTCAGACAGGGCAAGTGACTTCACCCCTAACCCACATCATTAATAAATGATCATTTCCAGGGTACCAAAAAAGTCCTCTAGTCAGTAAATGAGAGTTCAGAAGACTGGGTGATTAGAAAGGTTCAGTAAGGACTTCGTAGATTAAATTAGACTTCAAGAAAGCCTTTCAGAAAGGGCTAAGACTTACATATGCAAATAATTTATCTTTATGACTTAAAAGTAATAATTTACAACTTTCCATAAATATTTGGGGATACATAGGGTGGGTATCATAAACATATGAGAAGAAATCTCTAAAGCGTACCATACACTGCACTCCTGAAGTTAATAGGGAAACAGAACTCTAGAACCTGAATCAGAGACCCTCTTATAGTGCTTAACCTGTTTTTCCTCAAACTGCCTGTTTTTCCCTACAGATGTTTCTGACATTTTCCAAAACGTCTTATTAAACATGTTTTCCCCCATTGCTTAAGAGTTAACAAATATCATAAGGCACATTTGGAAAATGGTGTCAGGGGATTCCCTCCTTCAAAAATGTTACAAGCCGCTAGCTTAAATGCATCTGAAACAGATGGCTCTGCTCGGGTGATTTCTTCCGGCTGCTGTGTCTGCATTTCAGTCAAAGAAGAGAACATAACTTCTTGTGTCTTGAAACCTTGAACAGGGTGAAAAAACACACTTGCTGTCATTTTTTTTACCTTTTTGTGTGTCTGTCAGCTTCCGTACAACTACACTAAACTACTTCACCAGTGACAGGTTCGGCCACGTGAAGAAGCCCCGGGAGCTCGCTCCTCAGCGTCTCCGGTAGAGCGTGACCATCTTCCCGCAACCAGTTACAAGGGAGCGCGCCGGTGCATCCTGGGAGTTGTCGTCACAGGGGATTGTGGGAAATGTAGTTTAGAGACTCCGCCCTGCTCGCCATTCCTGTAATGGCTGCTTCCTGGAAGGTAATGTACGAACTTGTCCCCGAAGACCACTTAGATTGCCCAGGGTATTTGTAAAACAGGCGGCAGATTTGCACGTTGCCGGGCCAAAGCAGGGATTCTTTTTAAAGTCCTACTATCAAGTCCTCGAACGAACTTGTTTTTTTGGTTTTGGGTTTTTTTTTTTAGCTTCTCCTTTATAGGCTAACTGACCAACTTTTAAATCTAGTTCCCCTGCTTGAACAAACTGTTGTCGTTAGTTATTACCCATTCTTCTCCTTTACGTACAACCTCCCCGCTCTGCACTGACTCTAGCTGCTGCTTTAAAATAATAATAATGTGCGATTTTTTAAATCCTGCTACGCCCCTCTGATAATAGGTGCTGTCACGTGGAGCTTAGCCTTAGCATCCTGAACTGGTAGAATTAAACAAAAACCGCTTTCTTTGGTAAGTCTTACTATTTCCCCCACGACTTAACAGTTATATGTTGTTTGACTTTGCCAGATTTGTTTGCATTTCCTGGATGGGAGAGACCCTAAGAAAATATAATTTTCATTCACTAGGATAGTTTCCAAGTTAGTATCTTGTGCCTCTTCTGTCTTTTCTTATTCTACTGTTCAATTTGTTTTATTGATTCACACGGTGTTGGCGTTATAGAGTGGGGAAAAATCGCTGGAGTAATTATCATGAGAAGGGGCGATTAGCCTCAAATAACCATCTTTAAATACCATTTACTTCCCTCAGTTTCTTCCACCATAAAATGAGGAGATGGGTCTGAATATAATTTATAAAGTCTCTGATTTAAAGGGTTGTATGAACTGTTGTCATGTATTCATACTGTCATTTGAAAACGTAGGAATTTTTAATGGTTCCTTTTTGTTTCCATGTTTTAATTTCTAGGAACCTTCAGCCTTTAAGAACCAGTCACCTCAAGATCTCAACATCATGATCTCAGTTTCAACACAATTGTTCCTAGTTCTCTTTTCATTGCTTCTGGTGCTGCCTGTTGTTGAAGCAGTAGAAGCCGGAGATGCAATCGCTCTCTTGTTAGGTGTGGTTCTCAGCATTACAGGCATTTGTGCTTGTTTGGGGGTATATGCACGAAAGAGAAATGGACAGATGTGACTTTGAAGGGCCTCCTGAATCAAACCTTGCCCTGAAAACCTTTGTGCTATTGAGGTTCAGAACTGAGCTTTGGTGTCTGAAAGTTCTCAAGAAACAGTAAATAGGGTAGCTTCATAGTCTTGGTTATTTCCCTATAAATAGGAACAAACTGATATGTTAAATGGAAAACAAAACGTTTTCTTCACAACAAATAATGCACTGAAAAATGCCGTCTGTAATTTACATTTGCTAGTTAGAAAGAAGGTCAAAGAAGTGAGATGGCTGAACTCTGCATAAGTAATATTTCATAGTTTCAGAATTCTCAATAAGAATAAAACTCTTGTCCAGAATCTTAGGAAATTGCCACTGTTTAGTTATAATCACTGCCTCCTGCATCACTGAGGAGTCTTTTCTCCATATTTTTAATGCATTTTTGTTTTGTTATCTCCCAAGTTAATATTGTACCTAGATATTAAATACAGTTGGTCAAAAAATTAAAACTTATCTCTTTGTGGGGGAAAAAGTTTAGAAAATGTATTCTATGTATCTAACGTTGAAATGGAGAAAAGATTTAATGTAAAAAAATACTTTATATTGACACTAAAATGGAGAAAAGATTTAACGTTTAACAAAAACAAAAAAATCTTTATAAACTGCTAACATCTCCATGGTGAGAAGTACTATATTAAATATAAACCCATTATGTAAGTTACTGTGTGGTGTTTATTTCAGACTGCTTTTATCTTTGTGTGAACTTTTATAAAGTAAGTGGAGAAGAGTAGGATGCCTTACCTTAACTGATCACACTAGCTTGTAGAGATACAATCAGTGAAAAAATGAGAAATGGGCAGCATCAAGGGAGGGGAGAGGCCTCTGGTAGAGAATCCACAGATGCAGAAGGAAAATGTAATGGCCTATACTGATTTACACACAAGCCAGATGAGGCGTAATCTCCCTGACCTTGCTACTTAAGGTGTCCTCACACCAGCAGCATCACCTTAGGACTTGTTAGATCTGCAGAATCTCAGGTCCCACCCAGACCAATTGGATCAGAACTTTTGTTTCAAGAACCCAGGATAATTTATATGCACATTCAAGTTTAAGAAGATTGCTCTAACTTGTTTGAGCCCAAGGATCACCCAAAGCACTTGATAAAAACTGTTAGATTCTCAGGTTCCTCTCCTGGTTGCACTGTAGTAATTGTAGGTTGGGGTCTGGAATTCTATGTTTAACAAGGGTCTCCAGTGATTCCTTTGATTGTGTAGATGCAGCCAGCATAGAATTGTATGAGTAAATCAAACTACTATAGGGTCTTAATGAAAGCAGGTAGTCAAATTTTTTCCTAAAATAATGCATTATCCCATCTCTAGCTCTCCAGGTAACACTGGGAGCCTTAATTTTGATCAGAAAACAGGCAGCAGCAATCGAAAATCCTTAATGTGCATTTCTCCAGGTGTGAGCAGACCTGGATTTCATGAGGGATTTGGTAGAGGGTACAGAGAGTGAGGGACAGCCACACTGTAGACACAGAAACCACATGGATCTGTTTTTGTTATACTTGTTTTTTCACCAAAGAAAACACTAATAGTTTTTTATTCTGATAAATTGGCTGTTATACATTGTGTAATCAATAGAATTTTTTTAAAATTTTTATTGGAGTTTAGTTGCTTTATAATAGAACTTTTTTACATGTTTTTTTTTGAAAGATGGAAAAAGGAATGCAGATTGCGGGCCAGTTTGTCCTATCTCATAAAATACCAGCCTATTGGTACTGATGTAGAGAGGCTGCTCCTGCTTCCTTGTATGTCTGAACTTTTTGATTGGCATTGGGAGAAATCATACCTAAAGTACATTTTTTTTAAAAACAGGAAAGCCTGTTTTTGTTTTTACTGGAGGCTCAGGTAGTACATGACAGTTCATAAAATGGCTTCAGGGGTAGGGGAAATCTAAAGTACATTTTAAATCACGGTGCACTGTTTATTTAGTCACCTATAGGTACTATTTTTTAAATGTTCAAAATAAGACTACAGGCAAACATTCTTTGATAAACTTGTATTTCCACAAGTGCCTAGAAGAAATTAGAAAACTGCCATTTTCCTATTTTCTCCTTAAAAGTAGAGAATCATGAGGTGGCTTTCAGGAATTTTGATGTATATGATGGGGAATACCTTCTCTGTTTTTAGCTCTTTTCTATCTAGGTTGGATTATATAGTTTTGCCTGAAAACAGCAGAAACTCTTAATGGTGGCTCTTAACGTTTTGGGAGCCACCAGCTCCTTTGAGACTCTGATGAAAGCTATGGTCCTTTCCCTAGAAAAATGCACATACATGCTGGCATTTTTTTAGATTAATTTCAGGGAGTTCACAGAACTGAAGCCCATCCAGAAATCCCAAATTACAAACTTCTGCCCTTTTATTTCCTTTTTTTGAGGTTCTTTCCAATTCTGAAATTCCTTGATTTGCTCTGAGGGATAATACCCACTGTGGAGCAATTACAGGAAGAATGGGATTAGCAAATGTCCCCTGGGTGCCCAGCATAATTTGCAGATAACTAGTAAATGCTCTGTACATGTTAGCTTGGTTGAGTCTGGTTAAAAAGAAGACTAATAGCCAAAATCAACAAGGGAAGCGCTGGTAACCAGCCTATTGCTCCAATGCCAAAAATCAGTGCGTTTCCTGTCATTTCTCTCTGGCTGCTTTCAAGATATTTTTTCTCTGTTCTTAGTTTTCAGAAAGTGATCTGTGGTATGTCTTGGCATAAATATCTTTGGGTTTATCCTGTTTGGTATTTGCTCAGCTCGAACCTACAGGTTTGTGTCTTTTTCCCAAATTTAGGTAATTTTTAGCCATTATTTTTTCAAATACTCTTTCAACCACATCTCCTTCTTTCCTTCTGGGACTCCGTCTGCCTTATCACTGCCAGACAGAGGTAAAAGTCCAGAGGGAACCTCATTACTGTTCCCTACGTGCCCTGACCCTGCAGGTGGGGTGCCTTGTGGCTACTGGGTGGGAGTAGGAGTTCAGACTCCGCATGTGTTCTCCACTGGCCCATGGCCATGTCTAAGCACATTGGCATTTCTGGGTTGCCACCTTGTCCAGTACCTAGTCAGAGATCTATGAGGCAAAAAGAAAATCTAGAGAATTCACCACCGTGTCTTCTGGTCCTGAGGTCCCTAGCCAGTCTGCCTTCTTTCTACCTTTCAGAATCTTATGTTTGTCTTATAAATAATATCCAGGATTTTTAGCTGTATTTAGTGGGAGAAATAGGAAAAAAGATGTCTACTCCAACCTCCTGAAAGCACAAGTCTCCTCAGTGTGTATTTAAAGAGTGGAGGGATTAAAGCACCAGGTAAATGATCCATTCAAGGAATTTTACTCACAGACCTTTGTCCTAGGATCGCTCACATCTACCCTCCCCTTTTCACCCATCCAATAATATATTGTTTATTCCTGTCTCTTACCCAATAAGCTCAATCAAGAATGCAGGAGTGCAGATGAAGTTTAAAAAATGAACTGTATCCATATTTTGTCTCAGCATTGAGAGTGCAATGGCATCTTTTTGAAAAACTATCAAATGTACCACCTGTGAAGGAGCCAGCCAGGCCCAGGAAATCTCAGAAGCTACACATCACATGTACCTTCACCCTCTTAGGCTTTCTAAGCTCTGCAGAAGCTTGTCAAATGCCATTTCCAACCCTGAGGGTAGGAAAAGTGATGTAGCTATATAGCCTGCAACACATAATGAAGGGAGAATTCTCTGCATAGGAACCAAACCATCTCCCTCCCAGAGATACATATCAGCCTCTTTGATGGTATCACAATAGTGATTAAGAGCCCAAGCTCTGGAATCCGATAGATCTAGATAGATAACCAGATTCCATCACTTAAAATGTGATCTTAGGTCACTTAATATCTTGTAAATTTCTGTCTCCCTATCTGTTAAATGGGGAAAATAACAGTACATGCCTCATAGATGGGTGAGGAATACATGAAATAATGACTGTGAAAGACTTGGCATGCTGGATGTTACTGTAATTGGTATTTGGAGATATCTTCTAGACACAAGGGGAGAAAAACCTACTAGCATCAATTCTGTATTTATATATAAAGAAGACATCTTTAGAAAGTTATGTAAACAAATACCTTATTAAACAGTTCATTATATTTTAACTTTGACATTTTCTTTGAGTCTGTTTTCTTTATTATAGTTTTCCCCTCATCATTCTAGGCTTACAAATTGCTAAAACTCAAAGACATCTGTGAAGAAAAGAAAATTTGGCTTCCCTAAGTTTCCTCAAGCCTTTTCTGTACCTGAGTCTCCTGAGGAAAAGAAACAGGAAAAAAAGAAAATAATTGAATCTGTTTTAGTAATTCCTAACGTGCTCAACCATGGGTCTTTACTAAGTGACATAATGAAAGCTTAGCAGCAACTGCCCAGGTCATTTAAGGAGATGCAAGGAATTTGCTTCTCTCTGCTCAGGAAAATAGAAGATCTGGTCCATATTCCACTATGAAAAATACTCTTAACATATCTCATCTCATTAGAAGTCATAAAGATATAAGCACCATAAAATGTGTTTAATGTTTGTTTCCTACGTGGAGAATGTAGAGAAAGCCCTTATATTGATTTACGAACCCCAGACAGGATTTTTATTCTTAGGTGAGAATAGGTCCAAATCAATAAATATGTGTGCAGAATAGCATATTTAAGGTTTTTTTCTAATTTTTAGTAACTTCATTTTTCTAAATCGCTTCTGTGATTAAGTAATATACACCAAACATCTAAATGCAAAAGGCAGACCAGAAAAATATGACTGCTGTAAAACACTAAAATGTGGTTTAATTTCTCATTGATTTGTAGTATCAGAGCTACAATACCCCTCTCACACATTATTTCCACTGAATCCACTATATATGGCTGATTAAAATTCTGAAAATATTAGTTAGCTCTTGATAATCTGAAATGAAATTACAAAATTTTATATACAAGAGGGTTAATTATTTTTAAACGGCTAATCATGAAGTGCTTCGTTAAACACTGGGATTTTAAATACCATATGTCTCAATATTAATCAAGATAATTATGCTCCAGATAAATGTGCATAAATCACTTAACAAAAGACTTTAGAAGCAGGCATGAGCACCAAGAACAGAAACTATACCATATTCTATTTCAGATGATTTGTCAGAACAACTCTTTCACTTTGCCACAAAAATTACCAGGGCATTGCGATACCTACATAAAACAGTTTTATGGGCCCTGTGACGACATGTGCACACTTTCACTTGTTTAATCAACACTTTTCAAGACATCAGTACAACTTGGAAAGAAATTAATCAACTACCAGGTGACTGACCTTGAGCCAATAATTTAACCTCCACAATTTTTCATGTGTAGAATTATTTGTCACTAATCTCTAAAAGACTTCCTAGTGATAAAAATGTGTGGCCCCATATAGTTTTCCTAATTTCGAAAATAACAAGGTCTAATGTGTTAAAAAATATTGTAATTACCCATTTTCATATGGCAGCATGAGGAGCTGATTTCCTCTTTGAACTCTTCAGTGAAAACTGTAGTCTAGTAATTTGGTACATTTTTGGATTTCAATTTAGTGAAGCAGGGGCAGCTCATTTTCTGTACTGAATGAGTATGATTAGGGATTGTCTCAAGAAGGAAGAATAAAAACAAACCGTAGCCCTGCCACTCCC